GAGAGATGTTAGAAATTATATTTCTTAGGTAATGCAAAATAATACCTTTGATAAAAGATTGGGTCTCATAACCTAATTTCAGTAGGTATGTATGTTATAAATCACTGCTTCAGTCACTCAGGGATACTTTTCACCTAAATGTAGTTATTGTGTTAATGACTTTTAGTACCAACTCAGAAATAAAACTACTTTTTAGTACATTTTTAATTTTCTAGATTTTGTAAAGTTTTATTTACTATTACTATTACCATCTCCATTTAGCTGCAGAGACTTGTAATTGTCACATTCAAATGTGATACAATGTCTTATACTTGTTTTAAGAAGAATGTCACCTGTTATTAATAGCAAGTAATAGCTGACAGCATATATTACACATTGGGGATTAGATTTGATTTATAAAGCTCAAGAACTGCAAAGAAAATGTGTGGATTTATAGCATCTGGGTATTTGGCTATGTTTCTAAATTTATATGATACTCCAAGGGAACTTTTTTCCTTGTATAAAACACACAATGAAAATTTTCAGAAAAGTTCTAGTACTCTCAGATTGTAAACAACACTCCCTCAAGGTATTGTAAAAGTAAATTATGAGCGGCCACAATTAAGAATACAATGAAACAATTTTATTGAAATTAAATTTATTGGAGAACATTTATATGATACTGCACAGAATGACAAAAGTTCTATCATTTTTACATAATAATGATCTTTTTATGTTATGAATTGCAAAATTTTTAACTCATGAATGTACAAAGTTTTCTAAAACCATAATTGTGTTGTCATTACTTATGCTTCCCTTCTGCTTTGAGTTCCATAGGATTTTTATATAGAGAATCACAAAATCTCAGACTCTGACAGAATCTTAATGATCATTGAGACCAATATACTAATTTTCCAATTTTAAAACCAAATCTTAGGTATTATGAAAGTTACACAAATTTACCCAGTACTATTAGAGTCAAATATATAACACAGCTCTTAACTCTTCTTCCATTTTGTATACCACGTTTTCAAAGCACTGACCTATCTTGGGCCATTGATGAGGATCTAGGCTCACTAATAGAGAATACTATCTGTAGAAAAAAAATTGCAAAGCAACTTTATTTTTAATGGAATCTCAGTATGGGGGGGGGGAGAAAAAAACCTCACCTAGTAAAGACTTAAAGAAACCTACTGAAAAGTCAGGTTGTGTCTGGGTTTGCTTGGGATGATCTTGATTTGTTCCCATGATCCCAGGCTTAATATTAGGATCTCTTACTTTCTCAGTGAAGTAGGCTGCAAAGCCATTGGCTATGTGTTGGGGTAGAGTTGTGATGAGTAAAGGAGAAAGGGTAACATAGTGTTTATATGTAATAAGAAAGTGAGCTTCCTAAAGGCACAGAGTAAGAGCAGCAGGCAGTGTTAGTCATTTGAGGTACATTATCATTTATTTAAAAGTTAAACCAGTGAGGGGCGCCTGGGTGGCTCAGTCGGTTGAGTGACCAACTTCGGCTCAGGTCATGATCACAATCACGGATTGTGATTTTGAGCCCCACGTCAGGCTCTGTGCTGACAGCTCAGAGCCTGGAGCCTGCTTCAGATTCTCTGTCTCCCTCTCTCTCTGCCCCTCCCTCACTCATGCTCTGTCTCTGTCTCAGAAATAAAAAAACATTAAAAAAAATTAAAAAATAATTGAACCAGTGAGACTGTGATTTTTTTAAGAGGGTAGTTGACTTCACCTGTGATGGGGGTACACCAATTAAGAGTGGTGGTACTGAGTGGGACTAGTTTGCTGAGAATGTTTTTGCAATAATCTGAGTATAATAAACCATGGAATCTGGGAAGAAGAAAAAAATGTCGAGGTCAGTACAATCGAAAATTTGGATGATTTTTTAGGAATTGGGAGGGATAGGAGGTGGTGGCCCAAGTGAGTCATAAATAGTGACGTTACCTGTGATGACAAAGGGGTGACTAAAGTAATTATATATGTGAATCATGAGTTTAAGTGTGGATCACAAGATGTTACTGAAGGAGGTGTGGCTAAGGGAAGTTTCTGAGAGGAGTTTTGGAAGCACTAGTGAGGAACAGAGAAAACATCTGGTCCACCTCACCAAACCTCCTCTTTCTGGCCCTGATAATTGATAACAGCAAAATCCGCTTCCTTTTGATAGTGCTGCAGCCCAGTGGTCTCAGAAGCAGCTGTTAATAAAGGCCAGAAAGTAGAGAGAAAATTCAGAGAAGAGGTTAACGATAGAGCAGAGTTTGCTGCTAACAGATGTGGGGTTCCTGATGGCAGAGAGAAATGTAGGAGTTGATTAGCAGATTCTAAGTCACGATTATGATGTAGAATAATTCTGCAATGATACAAAACTCAGCAAAACAGGATATTCCCCATGTAGAATTCAAAAGTTATAATGTCAAACATTAAACATCATGGAATTTATTGATAGGAAAGACTCGTTGGCTCTCAAAAGTATCCAGTGTGATTTTAGTTTGTTTTCTAGCTAAAAGACAGATTAAAATCAGTAAATTGACGGGGGAGGGAGAAGCAGGAATATAAACATAGGCTAAATAAGCAATAAAATGAAATAGCTAGTAAACTAGATATGGGGGGGAAATAAATCAGGACTATGTGAGAGAGGGAAGGAAGGAAGAAGGGACAAAGGAAGGAAACAAAGTACTAAAAATAATCATGTTTATTGCAAATTGGTGTGCAGGTTAGAAGCCCTCTTTACACTTGTTCACAGTACCTAGGGATGGTATTATACTCTTGTAGCTTTATATTCTATCACTTTGTTTCTTCATAACCATCTTAGGACCTTCAAGGTACTATATTTAACAATTTTTTTTAATTAAAAGCAACCTTTATTCATTTCTGAGAGACAGAGAAAGAATGCAAGTGGGAGAGGGGCAGAGAGAGAGATAGGGAGACTCAGAATCCAAAGCAGGCTCCAGTCTCTGAGCTGTCAGCACAGAGCCCAATGCGGGCTCGAACCCATGGACCATGAGATCATGCCCTGAGCTGGTCAGACGCTTAACCTACCAAGTCACCCAGGCACCCCTACACAAAGTTTTTAGTAGCTATCCAAATTGCCAGGATCCATCCTGCACAGGAGCAAGAAATTCCATTGAGTGATGGAATTGACTAGGTTCCTATTGTGTGTATTAAACAATATACTTTAATCTGTGAATATTATGGCACGTGATTTATAAGTCAGTTCAGCTGATGAAAAGTACTTATGCCTGAACGCTAGCCCAAGAGCTCTGATTTAATTGGCTCTGGGTACCACCTGGGCATCAGGTGGCCTGAAACCTCTCTAGGTGATTCTGATTTGAATGTGATTCTCTCCTTGGCAGACAGCTACCTTCTTGCTTTGTTCTCCTGAGGCCTTTTCTCTGTGTGTGTATACACTTGGTATCTCTTCCTCTTATAAAGACATGAGTCCTATTGGATTACAGCCTTAAATTTAATTACTTCTTGAAGGACCCTGTCTCCAAATACAGTCACATTAGGGATTAGGGCTTCATGCATGTGAATTTTTTGCAGGAAAATATTCAGTCCACAATATGTTCCTTCTGTATTGGTAAATAGAATAACCTATGAAATATTCTTTTTTAATTTTTTTTAATGTTTATTTTTGAGAGAGAGAGAGAGACAGAGAGACAGAGCACAAGTGGGGGAGGGGCAGAGAAAGAGGGAGACACAGAATCCATAGCAGGCTCCAGGCTCTGAGCTGTCAGCACAGAGCCCGACGTGGGGCTCGAACTCACAGACCGTGAGATCATGACCTGAGCCGAAGTCGGACGCTTAACTGACTGAGCCACCCAGGAACCCCCTGAAATATTCTTATTAATAAACTGAATCTGAATATAATTAAGAATTTATAGTTAATTTCAGATGTATGGAAAACACAGGTGTGTTAGCTCAGGCTGTTGTAACAAAATACCAATGACTGGATGGCTTGAAAAACAAACTGCTTTCTCACAATTCTGGAGGCTACTAGTCAGGCATGAGGATGCCAGCATACCTGGTTATGGTAAGGAAGAACCTTCATCTTGGTTTGCAAACAGCCACCTTCCTGTGTCCTCACTTGGCAGATAGCACTATGCTCTGTTTTTACAAGGCCAATAATCCAAATGAGCTCCACCCTCATAAACTCATCTGAACTCAATTACCTCCCAAAGGTCCCACCTCCAAATACCATCAGATTAGGGGTTAGGGCTCCAGTGTATGAATTTTGAGGTCATAAATGTTCAGTCATAACTAAGAAGGACTAGATATAAACTATATGCAAAGAATCACACAGCTGATTCCAGAGGAAAGTGCAAGCTTACTTAATGTGAAAGAACAAGATTATTTAATGTGAAAGGATTACACAGTACAAGTTAAATGCGAAGGGAGACTTTATTCAAGACTATTGCAATAGGGGGAGAGAGAGATGGAACTCAGCTCTGCTGAAATAAGAGAGTTTCCAGCCTTAAACTGAGCTAGTGAGAAGTACTGGAGAATGTAATCAGGGAAGTTGGTTAGTGTGATTAGGCCATAAGTGTTGCTAATTGGTGCTTAATTGACTGCTTCCCTCCCACTGAGACTAGGAGATAGGGGCATTACCTTCCTGATAATTACATTTCAAAGGAATGGCTCTCAGGTTTTTAGAAAGGTATTATTGGGTTGTAAACCTGGAAAGAGACTGAGATTTATATCTCAAAGAGGTAGAGACAAAATTGGCAATAGCAGGTTTTCTAAAGTAAATTCTCTAAGGAAAGGGAGGTCAGAGGTATATACTCAGGAAGAAACCTGTTTAAAGTTTGTCAAGCTGAGCAGAAGGTTAAGACCTTAGTCAAGCACAACTAACTTTTTATTCTATAATTGATTATTAAAGATTAAATTAAATAAAAAAAAAAAAAAACAAAAAAACAAAACTTCTGAGTTTAAAGGAGATTTAAGAAATATGACACTGAATTTAAAACTTTGACATTTTACTTTATTTTAAAGTTTATTTATTTTGAGAGCACAAGCAGGGGGGTGGGCAGAGAGAGAGCACAAGAGAAAGAATCCCAAGCAAGCTCCTCGCTGTCAGCTCTGAGACTGATGTGGGGGTTGATCTCACAAACCATGAGGTCATGACCTGAGCTGAAATCAAGAGTAGGATGCACCCCTAAACTTGGACATTTTAATAGAGACTATGATGGGGATATACCAATTATACTCCCATGAATATATCAACTTGAAAAAGACATTTTTGAGTCAATCCATGGTATTTTATCATGTCCTGGGTGTTATATGAAATCTGTGTGTGTCTAAACTTTATGACTTTTAGAGATGTATCCTGTAATATATACAGGGATGTAATCACAAGATGTCAATAATATGCTTGAATATACATCCAAATAAAAGAAGAGCCTCTCTTCTTCTCTCTTTCAGTTTCTTCCCTCCCTCCCTTCCATTCTTCTCCTTCTGAGGGTACCTGGGGATAACAATTCGCATACCTAGATGAGCTCTTGACCTTGGTTTCTGAATACCTTGAGAAGTTATAGTTTCTAAGACCAAAGCAAGGAAAGAATAATTTATTTATTTTTTTTTAAAAATTTTTTTTTCAACGTTTATTTATTTTTGCGACAGAGAGAGACAGAGCATGAACGGGGGAGGGGCAGAGAGAGAGGGAGACACAGAATCGGAAACAGGCTCCAGGCTCTGAGCCATCAGCCCAGAGCCTGACACGGGGCTCGAACTCACGGACTGCGAGATCGTGACCTGGCTGAAGTCGGACGCTTAACCGACTGCGCCACCCAGGCGCCCCAGGAAAGAATAATTTAAACCTGGAATAACTTGTTTTGTGAGAAAATTAAGGAATTGCTCATAAAACAGTGGAGAGATTAAAAAATATATATAGATATTTATTTTGAGAGAGAGACAGAGGGTGAGCACGGGAGAGGCAGAGAGAGAGGAAGACACAGAATCCCAAGCAGGCTCCAGGCCCCAAGCTATCTGCACAGAGCCTGACATGGGCTCAGCCCCACAAACCCTGAGATCATGACTTGAGCCAAAGTCAGATGCTCAACTGATTGGCCCACCCAGGCTCCCGTGGTGACGTTTTAAAAGATCACAGAAGTCAGCTTCTGGGAGCTTCAGTCTATCAAACTGAGGTCAATTTGAGTGTAAAAATACTATTAGTAATGTTTTTTTTTTTAAATCTATTGAATAAAATAGAAATATAGGGATTTCTAGAATAGAAATACTGATATTAGTAAGATAAAATAATAAATTTATTATAAGTTTACTTATAATTATATAAATATATAGTATGTATACTTATATATGAATGTAAATATATATTTATATTTAATAAAATAAAATCATAAATAGAGAAGAGTAAAATCTCTTCTTTGCTATAGAATACAAACTAGTAAATGTAAAATAACAGATTAAATTAGAAAATCACACTTGAGGGGTGCCTAGGTGGCTCAGTTGGTTAAGTGTCCAACTCTGGATGTCATCTCAGATCATAATCTCACAGTTTGTGAATTTGAGCATGGTGTCTGCTTGGGATATTCTCTCTCTCTTAAGGTAAATAAATACAATTTAAGAAAAAAGAAAATCACACTTGCCAACCACCATATAAATGACTAAATCATTCAAGAAATATCAATGGATGCTAAAACTGGCATTGGGTTAGGGTAGGATGAAAAGTGAGATTTTACATGGTCTCAAAATATCCTGCTACAAAACACTTATTAATTATAGTGGCAGTGGGTTGGGGAAACAAGTCCCTTTACAACTGGAGAAACATGGCAGACACTATCATAAGTAAACCAAGTTAATAGCACCAGTAATGGGTGTCATGTGCTAATTTTTGTGATAATTTGGCCAACAGTGCGTAACCTGAGCCTAATCAATGGTGGTACTCCATAAATACACATAGATATGTTACCAAATTATTGTTTTGTGCTAAAAATTTTGTGATCAGGAAAGCCAAAAAAGAGCCAAGGAGATATTTCAGATTGTGGGAAACTAGAAAGACATAATGAAGTGAGTGCACATTGTGATTCTGGCTTGGATTCTTTTGCTACAAAACAAAAACAGTATTGGGACAATTGGAAGGTCTCTGGTTGATGGGTATATGGAAGTTACTTGTATTATTCTTGCAACTGTTTATTGAGCGTGTTTGTGTATATGAATATATTTAAACAGTGTAATTGATATAGAAGTGTAAAGAATTTCAATGAGTTTTGAAAATGGTCATTCTGGAATGCTATATTTTCTATATCTAGATTTGAAACTTTGATCATTTATGTCATGTAGAAAAAATTAAGAAAATAATACATTCTTAAAATATGTGATATAAATTTCAAGCACATGCAAAGGTAGAGAGAATTTAAAATTAACTCCTACATTTTTTTCTTCCATTTCCTTTAATTACAGACAAGAAGTCAAAAATGGCAAATTTATTCCATTTCTTTCAAAGCTACTAGTTCATTTATTTACATTTTGAAACACTTTCAGAATTACAGAAAATTGTAAGAATTAAAGAGAAAGAAAGAACATGTGGTTTATACTCGAAACACAAACAGCAGACTCTTGAGAACTAAGTTTCTCTGTAATGGTGTGTTACAGCAAGCCCTACTCTTATATTACTAGGTTGCTGTGTATGTTATATTGTGCTAAGTGGAATTTTCCAACCTGTGATAGTTTCTGCATAACTTACATTAAGAATAACTTTGGCACATTGCTAGAGCTTCTTCAGCTGTAAAATCTGATACCTAGCCTTTTGTGAGTAACTCCTAGACATGGCCTATTATAAATTCATTCAGCATGCCCTGGAAATGGAATGGTAATTTTATATTACATTTTATGATGGTGTCTCATCTCACCTATTACCTCAAAAAGTCAGACTTGAACTGTTTAGAAAATTAAGAGTTGAAAGCAGATTCTATTATAGTAACAATTATCACATAGTACATATTAAGGTGAGTACTGAATAATTTGATGTTGAACTGTTGTTCTTGCATTTGGTGAAGTGCTTTGAGTACTGCCTTATTTTGTTTTAAATAAACCACCTTTGTACATATATAATGAATCAGGTAAACTTTCAGAACCAGATATTTTTCCTGAATAAAGATGTAGGGTAGTTAGTGCCTGTAACAAATCCAAATTATACAGTCTAACGGTTTTTATTGTGTTTTTTCATTAAATGCAAACCTGTTGTTTGTTTTACTACACTATTTTTATAGTGAGTCTAATTTAGTACTACCCAGTGCAAGCCAGGAACCAACAAGCCTTTGAAGACTCCCATTCCCTCCGTATCTAATCAGTTAGATACTGAAGCCTGCGAATACTGTTATTTCAGTATCTCTGTAATATGATTACATCTTTACATCCAATAAAATATTCAATGGCTCTCCATAATTTAGAGAATAAACACTAAGTTTTTTTAAATGGTGGTACAAGGCCCTTCAAGGTCTGCACCCACCACATTTTTCCAGTTGTAACCCTTGTAACAAATACTGGCTGATTTTTAGATGCTCTGGGTCTTTTGTGCTGGTGGCCCTGCTTCTTATACTAGGAATCAGGACTTGTCTCAACTCCCTTCCTTCCATGTTTACCCTTTATCCTGTGAAGTGCCTGTTCATCAACCAAAATACAGCTTAGGCCTCTCCTCCTTTGCTAGTCTTACTTGGCTACCCATTAAATATGACTAGATTTCCTTTGTAAATCTGTCTCTATTTTTAAAAAATGTTTTAAGTGAACAAGGGTCAGAGAGAGAGGGAGAGAGAATCCCAAGCAGGCTCCTTGCTGTCAGCACAGGGCCCTACCTGAGGCTTGATCTCACGAACCATGAGATCATGACCTGAGTCGAAATCAAGAGTCAGATAGCCACCCAGCCACCTGAGTTAAGCTCTAACAATTGTCTTGCAGTATTAGAATTATGTTTTTACATTCTTTCTGCCTAATTAAATGTCTAAGCTCTCTGAGGACAGATACTCCTTCCAATTTCTTTGTGTCTGTAGGAACAAAGAGGGTACTTTATGCAATCTCTATACTGAGAAAAAATAATGATTGCATTAATTTAGAAAATGGTTATTATAATAATGAAAGGGATAAAGAATAAAAGTATTTGAAGCCTATTAAAATAGAACTTGGAAAGAATGGAGGTTGAAAAAAACTCATTTGGTTCCATAGACACTTCTTAAGTGTAATTTTATTTAATTTTTAATTGAAGTAAACTTGGTATGACATTATTTTCAGGTATATAGCATAATTTGATATTTGCATTGAATACAAAGTGATCACAATAAGTCTTGTTACCATCTGTTACCATACAATTGACTCCTCTCACCTTCTCTCCTAGGCCACCCCCACCCTCTTCCCATCTGATAACCACCAATCTTTTCTCTGTATCTGTAATTTTTGTTTGCTTTGGTTTAGATTTCACATGTATGTGAAATCATATGGCAGTTGTTTTTCCCTGCCTGACTTATTTAGTATAATACCTTTAGGGTCCATCCATGTGATTGTAGATGACAAAATTTTCTTCTTTTTTATGGCTGAGTACTGTTCCCTGGTATGTTTATACCATGTCAACATTCCTCCATTTATGCGTGCAAATTATTTCCATATCTTGGCTAATGTAAATAATGCTGCAATGAACGTGGGGGTGCATTACTTTTTTTAATTTGTTTTCGTTTTCTTTGAATAAATGCCCAGAAGTAGAATTGCTGGATCATATGGTAGTTCTGTTTTTAATTTATTTTGAGGAATCTCCATCATGTTTTCAATAGTGGCTGAGCCAGTTTATGTTCCCACCAACAGTATATGAGTGTTCCCTTTTCTCTACATCTTTGCCAACACATGTTATTTCTTGACTTTTGATAATAGCCATTCTGACAGATGTGAAATTATATCTCATTGTTTTGATTTGCATTTCCCTGATAATGAGTGATGTTGAGCATCTTTTTATGTGGCTGTTGGCCATCTGTATGTGTTCTTTGGAAAAAAATGTCAGATCCTGTGCCTGGTTTTTAATTGGATTGTTTGTTTTGTTTTTGAATTGTATGAGTTCTTTATATAGTTTGGATATTAGCCCCTTATTGGATATATGATATGATATTGGATAATGGCTATATGGATATTATATCTTCTCCCATTCAGAAGGTTGTCTTTTAATTTTGTTGATGCTTTCCTTAGCTGTGCAGAAACTTTTTAGTGTGATAGAGACCAATATGTTTATTTTTGTTTTCATTGTCATTGCCTTCAGAGTCAGATCCAAAAGAAATAATGCCAAGTGTGGTGCCACAGAGCTTGCTGTTTATGTTTTCTTCTCGTTTTCTGGTATCTGGATTATAAAGATTTGAACATAAATCTTATATTCAAATCTTTAATTCATTTTGAATTCATTTTTGTGTATGATGTAAAATAGTGGCTCAGTTTCATTCTCTTGTACATGACTGACTGGTTTTCCCAGAACCATTTATTGAAGAGACTGTCCTTTCCTCATTGTATAGACTTGTGTCTTTTGTTGTAAATTAATTGACTATATATATATATATGTGTGTGTATGTAATTGACTATACACACACACACACACACACACACACACACACACACACACACACATATGTATGTTTATTTCTGGGCTCTCCATTCTCTTCTATTGATTTGTATGTTGTTTTTATGCCAGTCCATACTGTTTTGATTACTGTGGGATTGCAATGTAGTAAAATCAGGGAGCATAATATACCTCTAGCTTTGTTCTCTTTTTCAAGATTACTTTGGCTATTCTGGGTCTCTGTGGTTCCATACAAATTTTAGAACTTTTGGATTGTTCTCATTCTGAAAAATGCCATTGGAGTTTTTATAGGGATTGCATTAAATTTGTAGATTGCTTTGAGGAATATGGACATTTTAACTATTCTTCCAATTCATGAGCATGGAATATCTTTCCATATATTTGTTTCTTCTTCATTTTATTTCATCTTTGTCTAATAGTTTTCAGTGTAAAGGTCTTTCACATTTTTGGTTAAATTTATTCCTAGATATTCTTTTTGATGCAATTATAACTGGGATTGTATTCTTAATTCTCTTTCAGGTAGTTTGTTATTAGTGTTTAGAAACACTATGAATTTCTGTATATTGATTTTGTGTCCTAAAACTTACTGAATTCATTTATTGATTCTAAGACTTTTTTGATGTAGTCTTTAGGGTTTTATACATATAGAATCATGTCATCTGCAAATAATTACTGCTTTACTTCTTTGTTTCCTATTTGGATTTTATTTATTTATTTGTTTGTTTGCCTAATTACTATGGCTAGGATTTCAATACTGTGCTGAACAAAAGTGGTAAGTGTGGACATTTTTGTGTTGTTTCTCAGCTTAGAAGAAAAGCTTTTCACTATTGAGCATGTTGTTTGCTATGGGTTTGTCATATTGGCCTTTATTATGTTGAGGTATGTTTCTCCTATACCCACTTTGTTGAAAGTTTTCTCATAAATGGCTGTTGAATTTTGTCAGATGCTTTTTTGCATCTATTAAGATAGGCATGGGACTTTTATTTTTTATTTTGTTAATGTGGCATATCAAGTTGGCTGATTTTATGGATGTCAAACCATTCTTGCATCCCTAAAATAAATCTCTTTTGATCATGGTGTAGGATTCTTTTAATGTATTGTTGGATTTAGTTTGCTAATATTTTGTTGAGGATTTTTACATTTATATTCACTAGGGACATTGGCCTGTAATTTTTTTCTTGTGGTATCCTTGTTTGGTTTTGGTATCTGGGTAATGATGGCTTCATAAAATAAGCTTGGGAGTGTTCCCTCCTCTTTAATTTTTTTTGGAAGAATTTGAGAAAGATAAAGTATTAATTTTTCTTTCAATGTTTGGTAGAACTCACCAGTGAAGTCGTTTGATCCTGGACTTTTGTTCATTGGGAGGTTGTTGATTTGGGGTAGTTTTAATTTCAATGCCCAGATCTTCAGATTTATTATTATTTTTTTTAAGAATTAAAAAAAAATAGCACCAATGGAATTTGAATATTGAAAAATTTTGATCATAAGATGTTTCAGTTGACCCTCAGTTCTATGGGAATATAATAAAACCTGTGTTCTCTAGTATCATAGTATGATACAAAAGGATAGTTTTGAACATGCTCTGTCTCTCTCTGTCCCAAAAATAAATAAACGTTGAAAAAAAAAATTTGAACAATTAAATATCCATTCAGACTTACCTCCTTTTGAATCATCTCTTACCATAATCTTTTTCCTGTTCAAAAATTACCAGTATCAGTAGTTAATAAATATTGAGGAATCACTCTGCTCTTAGGGATTACAATTATCTCAGTTCATTTAATCCTCAGACTGTCCATATGGAATAGATACTGTCTTTATTCCCATTTGCAGTATGAGGAAATCATAAAGTAGGGTATGAATTATACTTCCCAAGGTCACACAGTTGATAAGAAGTGCTATGCCATTTAAATAGGCAGTCCAACTCCAGAGTTCTTACCTTCAAGCCCTAAAACTTTAAAATATTGCTGGGGTTCCTGGGTGGTTCATTTGGTTAAGCATCTGACTCTTAATTTTAGCTCAGGTCATGATCTCACAGTGGTGAGGTCGAGCCCTACCTACATTAGGCTCTGTGCTGAGCATGGACCCTGCTTAGTATTCTCTTTCTCCCTCTTCTTCTGCCCCTTCCTGCTTGCACATGCACACATGCAGGCTCTCAAGAAAAAAAAAATGTTGCCTATATATGCTTGTGTCTTAAGGAAACAATATATAAATCAACTTTTAACTTTTTAAAAAATTTATTTTATTTTTTAAATGTTTGTAATTTTCGGGAGAGATGGAGAAAGAGAGAACATGAGTGGGGGGGAGGGCAGAGAGAGAGGGAGACAGAGAATCCCAAGCAGGCTCCACGCTGTCAGTGAAGAGTCCAGTGCAGGGCTTGAACCCATGAACTGTGAGATTGTGACTTGAGCTGAAATCAAGAGTCAGATGCTTAACCAACTGAGCTACCCAGGCACCCCAAATCAACTCTTAACTTTATTACTTACTAATTACTTTAATACTTACTTTATTTTATGCTTATAATTGTATCTATAATAAAATCTCAATCTAAGTGTATAAGGAATGAATTGTTAGATTTTCTGATTCAACCCTTATTGATGGAAAGGGTTCCAAAATACTTGACTAAATGATGGACTCATGTACTGGAAGCAAGATTTGATTTAACTGCTAGTTATCAGAGGATGTCTAAAGTACATCATGCTATTTTATGATATTTCACAATTTAACAAGCTTTTCTTGTAATAAATGGGTAAGCAAATGAAAATGAGATGATGATAGATGATGTCAGTTACAGAATGTTTGGTCAACTCAGGTTTTGTGGATATGATTGAGATTATTTATAACATATAGCTTTTAAGTCAGATGTTATCACTTTAGGAATAGGAAACTGAAAGTTGTATACAATTTCCTCTCTCCAAGGTTTATCATTTGATAGATTTAATGTCTTTGCCTTTATATTGTCTTACTGTTGCCTTACACAGATCCCAGATTCAAAACAAACAGCTAAAACAATGAAAAATACGTATTTCTTAATCAGGAGCTGAAAAATAGACTTTAGAGTACTATATTGACCAATATAGACTGCAGTAACTCCTAAATATCAATATTTTAGAAACACCAAAGTTTATTTCTTTTCCACAATCTGTAGATGTCTATCTACTTCTTGTTAAATGTTTCCTGCCTGCAAGTACTACATATCACTGTCACTCATGTTTTATTCAGCAGAGTATGTTATACCTTATCAAGGTAACTGTAATGTTCCAGTGTGCTCAGAAATAGATTGGAGAGTGGAACTTAGGTATTGGCAAACAGTGGTAGTATCTAGCATAAGTACCAAGATGGTAGGGAAAGCCATGTTGTAGGTTGTTCCTATTATCTCTCTTCTACAGTTTTTGGTATTTCTGTAGTTTTGTTTTTTTAACATATTTTTGCTTCTGTTTTCTTTCTAAAATGTGTATTGTTGCTAATAATATTTCTTTCTAAAATATGTTATTGCATCATCCTGTTGCAGATCTGTTTTTTTCTCTCCTATTTTTGGGCTTCTCCGTACTTATTGAAGACCTACCAGAAGCCCAGGAGTGTCACATTTATTTGTAAAAGATAGAGGATTCTATTGTACTTAATATTTTTAAAGGATTGTTTGCAGCTCAAAATGAATTGAAATTTATTTAATTAAAATAGTTTAATATCAATTATTTTCTGTTAATTATGGCTTAGAAGGACAAGATATTAGAGACTATATAATCAGCTAAACATGTCAAGCAATATAGAAAGGATGATATCATCAGGACTATACAAGGGCTCTGACAGTGGGAAGAAGCAAATATAAGATAGAAAGATGAGAGCAAGAGATTAAATTTCCGGCTGCATTCAAATTTTGAGATTAAGAAATAAGAAAAAGAAATCAGGACATGTCAAACTGTATCCAAAACATCTGAGTAATTATAAGGAAATACCTCGAACTATTATCATCTTCCTCTTAATAGTCTCTTTGGAACTTGAGACCTTGAGGCTTTTTTCCTTTGTAATACTTTCATATAAGCAAAAATCTGTAAGAATTAAAAAAAAAACTTTTATATAAGATGCTTCACCATTATTTCAGATACAAGAACTGAAAAAATAAATTCTATAAAGGAAGTTGCACATTTCAGTTAAATCAAACTACTGCATTTCTGTTTATAATGAGGCCTGTTAAAATGCACTTTATGAAAAATGTATAATTGACTAACTTTTGTATGAGATATTGAGGTTACTTGCCTACCTAGAGC